CGAATAATATTTGATCTCAATAGATATTGCGCCTTCCCTCCGGACTATCCATGCGCGAGCCACGGTTTCAGGCGTGCAGGTATGGACTGACGAAAAACTGATAATATAGCTTGCTGATGATGGAAAAGGGTGGGGAGACTGGCAGATAGGCGGCAGGGACGATTAGCTGATTGGCGGAGAAGAGAGAGAGGCCTACGCGAGCGACAAGGGAAGCAAGGGATAAGAAGGGAGGGTCGTGAAGTAGCGGAGTTTTTTGCATCCTACAGGCTAGGGGCGCTCTGCTGAATCATAAACGCAGTTCTACTGATAAGGGAATCTATTACAATTTAAATCTGATTTCTTGAGATACCCCTAAGCTATATTAAATGACATATTCATCACAAAATATAACTGCTTCTCTGGTGAGATATTGCGCATGCGCTTAACAGTACTAACTAGCCAGATTGTGTATTGACTTGGTATACGCGCGGCAGGAGTTCTTACATGCAAGGGTCGTCTCCTATTTCGTAGTGAGGTCTACTGATATGAATGCTATTACATAAATTCTATGCAAGGATAACTATTCTTCATCTTAAACTGCAATAATAGCTTGCAAAATTAATATCTTTCTGCGAGAGATATTGCCGGCGTATATAGCCCGTCGAACCAACGGTTCTTAGGCGTGCAGTATGTGACTGACGAAAAACAGTTAATATAGCTTCGCGCTGAGGATGATTGAGAGGTGGGGAGGGACTGCGGGATGTAGCGGCAGGAAAGATAGCTGAGGCGGAGAAGAGAGGAGGCTAAGCGAGAGACAAGGCAGACAAGAAGATAGACGGAGAAGTAAAAGTAGGGAGTTTGCACCGTACAGGCTAGGGCGCGCTGTGCTAAGCATAAAACGCAGTTCTACTGATAAGGAAATTTTATTACATAGGTTGCTATGCTGATAGATACCCTAAAGCCATATTAAATGACATATTCATCACAAAATATAACTCCTCAGAAAATTGCGCATGTGCTAACATGACTAACATTAGCCAGTGAATTGTGTGTACGACTGGTATACGCACGATGTCCTTACGGTGCAAGGTTGTTCTTCCGTATTTTTTAAGTGAGGCCTGCTGCATGAAAATTTTATCATATCAAATCCATTGCTAGGAATGACCGCTTCTTTATTTTAAATTCATAATTCTTTACAAATATTAATCTTTCTTGAATAGTGCGCCATGCGCGGCATCATTTTTGGCATGCAGTACGACCTAAAATATTCAGTACGTTGAATATATACGATATTGTATATATAATATATATACGAATGTACATATCTACCACAGAATCAATAAGACTACTAGTACGCGCGCACGCTACTAGCCTTAATTCATAATACAAGTCTTGCTTTAAATCCATGTGGCAATGGCCTGTAAGACATGTTGCACACACACTTCGGGCCTTTACTTATTAAATCGTTCACCAGCGTTATTAAGATTTCGTCTAGAGACGGTTGGAAGGCGTAATTTAGCCGGCCTTATATTAATGAGGAGAGGTTACGCGTGGGATCAACAGTTTTTACATCTAACTACTCCGAGTGGGCGCTATTACCTAGATGTAAGCAAGAGATCGTGGTTGTTATCTATTTGCGCAAACAAGCAACCAGGAACTGCGCACGGTTAACTGCTCCAGAACGCAACTCTGTGGCGTGTGGCGTTGTCTCGTCCAGCGGAAAAATGAGTTAGCTACGGCCCTGTTTTGATTAACGACTACTTTTCAAACTGCCGAGTATATATATACAGGTGAGAAAGAATCCTTCAAAACGTAATGCCTTTCGCTTAAACAATTCGGAGCGTTTCACGAAGGAGGTAGTAAGATGAAATAGGGCTGTATTCTTTTTGTCTTAAGGCGTGCATACTCTTCATGATGAATGGAATAGCTTGTTTTCGCCACAACTTGTTGGTGCCCTCCAAGCCTTTTGCTCTCAAACGCTGTCAGCACCAAAGCCAGCAACGTTGATTCCAACCCAGAAACCAATATAAAGGTGATGGCCCTTGAGAAAACGCCATTCTGCCGAAACAATATAAACATTTATTAATAACAAGATAAACAAGTATGGTAGCCACGTAATATAAATTAAAGACAATGCACTAAAAAAACGTGTTGAACTGCCTATAATCGCAATCAGACCACTGGATAATTCATAATAATAATCACATCATAATAATAATAACGACGATAATTCATTATTATTATTTATTATATATTATAACAATAACAATATAAATGCCTTGGTTATATTCGCTGAACACTGACCAACTCTAGGAGTCATGACTGTCTTGGCGAAATCAGGTAAAAGATTAATATATAATGCAAACATGCACACGGATAATTTGTTAGGTGTATTATTTCCAAGTTTGCACTCAATTTCACCCATTTTCATTTATGCCCGCACAAATCACACGCAGTCTCCTACCCACCATCATGGACAAGTTAATATCGAGCACGCTAGTTCTTTCCGGTCACGAGTCATAATATGTGGTAAACCTTCCTCGCGGTCTATTTGCTAGATCTTAAATGCTTCGTGCAGCCTTACTTTGCGGCGGAATGTACTCACGGCTTTGTATCCGTTAAACTTGTAGCACTTCCTTCATGTTACGTGGGGATGTTGGTGAGCAATGTGTAGGGTGCCCCGTTCGCACAGGTGTGAGCAAACAACGATGGCCCGCACACTCTCTTTGACGTCCTATCGTTAGCCAAGGAAAGTGCTTTGATGTCTATTAACACATTCGTTCATACTGTATTGACAAACAACTTGTTTGCTTACTGTTACGTGTACGTTTGTTACGTTTGTCGTCACAGATTCAATTACGATGTACAATCAGGCTAATTATGCTTTAGTTCCTTATTTCTCAAATCTAGTTATTTCATTCGATTAACCTCAATCGCTCTTGGTCACCTTGATTTCGTACGGACATCTGCCGGCCAGGGCTGTGTTCTATGTTAGTGGCTTCGTCGTCCGGAGATCAGCGACTAGAGTGAGGCGTGTCCGCGATGCGGACGAGAGCCAAAACTGACACACAGACCACACCAAAAAAAGCCCTGCCACAGCAATCACAGACTACGATCAGTATTTTTACTTATACAGTTATTCTACAACAAACGTTTAGCAATGAAAAATTTGGGTTTGTTGGTTTTCGACTTCTCGATCAAACAAACACGAACCTCCTAATCGCTGACACGTTTGAATATGTGGACCGAAAAATTTTAAAGCAGACGCTAGCCAATGGCATCGCCCTCTCCAGGTTGCCAACAGGGAGATGCTAGTCTTATCGTTACGAAGTCGCCGGTTGGAATAGTATAGGAGCACTTGACATCTCCGCAAGTACGTAGAAAGATCGAGGCCAGCCTCCGTCAAAGCTCCGTACGTCAAACAGTAAAGTTAATGCAGGCAGAGCGCAGTTCGGTGATGACATTACCATCTGGCAACCTTTTAAGCAAGCGCCAGGAAAACCTTTATTAAACAGACGAGCACGCCACGCGTCCGCGCATCAACACCACCCGCCGCCGCACCCGCCACCGACATCATCACCGCCACGGCCACCCCACCAACAACACTTCATCGCTCGCCCCCACCACCACCAGCACCAGCCAAACCTCCACCAGCGACACCACCACACCGAGGCACCACCACCACCATTCACCACCAACACGCACCACCACCACGACCACATCCACCACGCAAAACATACCAGCACCCACCACACCCCACCACACCGTCCACCAGATACCACCACCATCATCATTCATGATGCACCACCAGCCATCCAACAACACCACACCACTGGGTAGGGATCCCACCCCACACCACCAACCCAAACCCCCACCACCACCACCACACCACCACACCACCACCACCACCCCCCCACCACCACCACCACAACCACAAACCACAACCACAACCACCACACACCACACCACTAAACACCACCCACCAACAACAACGAACAATCACCACCACCATCCACACGCACCACACCACCACCACCACCACCATTACCCACCACCGAACACCACCTACCACCACCACCACCCCACCACCCACACCGACCCACGCTACACACCCACATAACACCACCAACAACGAGACAACTACACCAGCCACCACACACCACCACCACCACCACCAACAACAACAACAACAACAACAACAACAACAACAACAACAACAACAACAAAACGGCCACCGCCACTGCCACTACCACAATACTTTCACAACACCACTATAATTAACAGTAAGAATTAACCAAGTTGCGACGTGACAATGTATACGTGTAGATCAGATAAGGCACACATCAGAGACTCACCGGCATAAGTGAAGCCCACAAGTTTACTCCTCTCTAGCGGTGGTGCCCAGTGCGACCAAACTGCATGCATGGATGGAAACACAACACCCTAACGAAAGAATATTGCGATGTATAAAACGGCGCCATTGCAACCCAGTGATATTTATATATTATATCAAGAGCGTATAAATACCTTCTTTATACGCTCTTGATTATATTTATGTCCCAATAAATACGTCCCATATGGTCGAGATTACTGCCCAGTGTCCGATTGAGGTCCGTGTATATTCTTTGATAAAAAGATTTTACTTGTGTATATCATTTTCAAGAATGAAACTAGGGCGTTATTGCTGACGTTGTTAACGTCGTACGATGTTATTTTATTTTCATTTTCTTCTGAAAGAACCGATTAGTGTAGAGATCTATCACTGGCGTAGTTTTTCATAAATAAATACAAAAAGATACATATTATAATAAAATTTCCGTCGGTCCTTCACTTTTCATAAGTCCTAGGCGGAGTACTCACTATTGGATGATATGGCTTTGTTGTTACTCACCTCACCCAGACCTTGGACGATGCGCAGGAATACCAGCAACATCCAATGCTTACGGGCACCGAGAGGTGTGAGCAACGTGGCAATGGCCGTCAGTAGCATGGCGTAACCGAACACTCGCTTCCCTCCGTAGCGCTCAGAGATCCAGCCGCCGGGAATCTGCGTCACCAGGTAGCCCCAGAAGAACGAACCCAGAATCAAGCCTTGCTGTTGCTTGTCCCACAGGAACGCGCCATCCTAGGGGAGATGCAACGCATGTTACCAATCTATAAAGATCCATTGCGCATCGCCATCAAAGAGCATGGGGGTTCTAGTGGCACCAGATGTTATAAATAATATGTACATATATGAATGAATGAATGAATGAATGAATGAATGCATGCATAAATGAATAAATAAATAATGTAAATGAATAAATGAATGGCATGGCGAATGGTAAGTTCTCGATATAACACATATATACAACGCGCATCACCTCTGACTCTCCTTTGTCGTCTGTTTCTCCATTGGCACATTCGCCATCGTCGATTGGCACATAAAGCGCTGACAGGTTCTCGGAGTGTGAGGCCATGTCGATGGCCGTGTAGTTAACCATGCAGACGAGACCCACGCTGAGGTTGATGCGCAGAGCATACAGGTTGAGAAATCCGAAGAAACCGACGACTGCGAGGATCATGCGCTGAGAACAGCAGAGAGGATCTGCGGCGAATATAGAGATAATAGATATAACCCCCAATGGAGAGAAAGAGAGAGCAGTAGGAGAAAGAGAGAGAGAATGAAGAGAGAGACGAGAGAGAGAAGAGAGAGAAAGAGCGAGCGCGAGAGAGACAGATGGAATTAGGATCTGCGGCGAACATAGAGACGTTTACATGTCGTAAATAGATAAATCACGTAGTATTGATGCATTTTCGCTTTATTATTCAATAACATGAACATACATGCTATCATGAGCATTAATATTATATCAGGAGTGAATAAGAATAGATCTATTACTCCTGATAAAATTCAATTCTACAACATTAAGCTTTGCTTCGCAAGCATCGCATCCCGCGTCCAGACTTCCCACCCTATGCTAATGTAATATGAAAATGGCGCGCACGGCACAGCGTCGGTCGCCGTTAAACTGCCAAGACTATATTTCTTCTTCGGCCGATCTTATACGTTTAAAACTAGCGAAGCTGGACGGACCGACGCGCACGTGTGCATGGTAAAATGCGATCTATAATATTCAGCTTTGCTCCCAGCATCATGCCCTGGGTTCCCACGAATTATAATGTGCATTGCAAATAACGCTCGCACGTCGGTCGCCGTTGCCTCCAAGAAAAATTTTCTTCGGCCCGAAAACATACGTTCAATCTGGAGCCAGGACGGACCCACCGCACGAGTGTATGATAATGATAATTATGTATGATGTGAATGATATGATATACACGAGGAAAGTAACAACGAATGTAGCGCTTATATTATTTACGATAAACGCACGGCGCGCCCTAGAGTCTGTTAATAATTAATCAGGTGCCTTACGAGCTTCAACCTGTTGATCACACCCAACAAAATACAAGTGTCGCGTTGCATGAAGGTACACGCGACGGTGACGTAATAGGTATATACAGCGAAAATAAAGCCACATGTAAAGCGGTTATCACCAAACTAGTTTTCACTTCTTGCTTACATGATATACGCGTATGTCCGCGAATGTGAAAATTTTTCGCGACGTGCATTACGCGCGTACGTGCTTCTCGGCGCTGTGTCATAAATACTGTGTCATAATACTGTGTCATAAATACTGTGTCAGAAATTTACTTTTAGAAAAGCACAGTATCGTGAAAAACAGTTTTGGTTCGATATGGTAGCGTTTCCGCTATAAATCCACTACTGTATATATTTGCGTATTATGTATACGACGCTCTCGCGCCTTCACTGTAGATGGTAAATGACTTCAGGGAGAAATCGCGTCAAAAAACAATATTATGAGTCCTTCACTATGCACGTTACGAGTTTTCGCCGAGACAGAGTCCGCGAGTTTCTACCGTTGTAGGCCTTTTTGCTTCCCGCTATCCTATAGCTACTATAGCGTGAGCGGAAGGGGCTACCCTGGCAGAGTTTTACCAGAGAGTGACCCTATCTGCTTTTCTCGCCGGCTCTTGCAATGGTGCTAAAAATAATAGGCGCTTTAGTAAAGCTCGTATAGGGTCTATGTCCCTGGACCTCTGTTTGACCTGGCTCGTTTAGTCTATTTCTGACTAACCCTAACTACCCTAACCCTAAACCCTATATCTATATTATATATTATTACCTTCGCCAGGGGCTTGACGGGGGTTATGTTTTCACGCGGCGTGTGTTTGAGTGCTGGTTTGTGTGTTGTGGGTTTGTGGGTTTGTTACATGTCATGTTTCAGTTCCACTTCCGCTAGGTGCGCTGGCTGTAGACTTACAAACAGCCAACCACAGCTAAGGGGCAACCACAGTCCTCCCCCACCTGCACGCTCGCACTCAATCCGGATCCAATTAATTATTTAATTAATTAATTAATTAATTAATTTTTCCACTTAATTAATTAATTAATTAATAAAAATTTCACATTGAGAAGATTCAGCTGCCTTGGCGGAGGTCTGTGCTCTCTGAGTGCGTCTAGTAATATATATATATATATATATATATATAATTAGTCAGAAATAGCTAAACGAGCCAGGTCAAACAGAGGTCAGGGGAACATAGACCTTATCTGCCTTAGTAAAGTGTATCTGTAGCGTCTTTACTTTACAGCCGGCCACTTTTTGCAGCACATTCTACAGTCAATACGTGTCTACGCGGGGAAAACGTGTCTAGAGTTTTCATAATGTATTTATAATGTATGTATAATGTAATTGGCCATCTATAGTGCCAGCTATAGTAGGGATCCGGTGTACGGTCGAGTGTTGAATATCAAATGTTTGTTCGTGAGGCCACAAGCACTTGGAGCGTTTCAATAGTAAAATAATGGTAAATAAACACGAAATGTATTTACTACCAAAGTCTTAATGTGTTTCTCTACTCCTTTTCGCCTATAATTGACGATAACTTCCTGTAAATGCCGCTCATATTAGAGTTCGATCTCAATATTCTTGTTGTTTGTGCACAGCGCCGTGCGTGCGGTGTAGGCCTACTTGTTTGTTGTAGAGGAGCATTTGAACGGCATTTACAGGAAATTATCGGCAATAATAGGCGAAAGAGAGTAGAGAAACATCAAGATTTTGGTAGTAAATACATTTTGTGTTTATTTACCTTTTTTTCATTGAAACGCTCCAAGTGCCTGTGCGTGAGGCATTCGATCACATTCATGGATTTTTTCGTTTATTCTCGCTGACGTCATGGATAATCATAGCATATTTTGCAACGTAAACAGCTGATATCGAGTAAATAATAATGAACATAGATCGAGTCAAGTACGCAATAGAATAGAATAGGACATAGCATGAATATGAAATAGTCATACGTACGTAGCGTAAAAGTTCCTCTCCGTCTCCCATCTTTCGTGTTTCGCTTAATACAATCAGGATTTTCTTTCCCTTACAATCTGATACATCTCATATGTAAAAAGTTAGACTCCTGATTTTATTAATATACGTTTCATTCCCTCACAAGGCTCTCATGTATTGGCTTCGTGCCGTAGTATTCGATAACGTCATTAATAAATTACTGCTCCTTGAGGCATGTGTTTTTCTGCCATATGCTATTTCTTTTATAAACGCGCTATACAGCAGTTTACCGTATAGAGAGTGCGAATAGTTGACACTCTCGGCAAAGCTCACTCAAGAGCTGAACAGCTGAAATAAACAGGTGTTCTGTTCTGGTTACTTGTTAAATGATCTACTAATGCTATCGAGGCTAAGCAACTCCAAGGCACCTCGTGGCGACTTTCCGACTAACTTCTCACATCTTACGCCTCTACCTCAACCAAGAGCCATAATAGACCTATAGCAGACACTGTGAGAGCAATGGCAATATGGCCGCCTCTTTGCTGCTGTTTAACCATGCAAGCTTGCCGAAGTTTACTTATTAATTATTGCCGGTACCACTCGTCGCTACCTCTTCCGGACGAAAGCCGAATTGTGTAGACATTTGCAACTATCTTTTGCAACTAATATAGTGGTCATGGCGCAATGTAACGTAGCAGCCTATAAGTTGCGTAAACTACGCGCTTACACCTTATATAATCTAGGCTATAATTCAGTCTAATTAATTGCAAAGAAACAGATTGATATGGAAACCCTGCAGGAATTTAACGGAACCAACTAGCCAAAGAACACTATAGCAGTTTCAGGTCAGGCCAAGTGTATGATAAGGGTAGAATTATGCGGGTTTACCGTTAAGGCAAGCGTGGACATGACGTATCTCGCCGGGTAACTATGATCTTCTCCTTATCATAGCTCTACCCCCCTTACGCCCATATAGGGGGGTATATAGGGGAGGGGGGCACCCTACACCTTGCCCGATCCGAACTCATCAAGCATTCGCCACAACCCCATCGAGAGGGTGTTAACCTCTCGCTCACCACCACAGTGAGTGTGTATATACTTACAGTAGCTGACATTTCCCTCGGCGTCCATGACGGAGCGCGGGCTGTGTATGACCGCAGACGATCTACGGCGTGTTTCGGCTGGTTGTGCGGAGCTTGCAGACGACTCCATATCCGCAGCGCGTGTGCCGAACCCGTTCTCTTTCTCACGTCCTGTTGGCTTCAATTGCTCCACTCACCGTCCACACGCGCACCTCTGTATGCGGTAGTTTTCGCTCGCAATTTCAGCTGAAAAAAAATAGAGAGAGAATTTAAATAATCTGAATTTGGTGTGAAAATGATTGTAGGAAATGTGTATGTTGAGTACGCGTAGCCGGACGCACCGACTAGCGTGAACTCACCCCTAGGCGTATAACATATACGGCGCTGCTTCTGTCCCGTGTAAGTTTACCGTGCACCGACCACACACGCAACGATCTCGCGTCTGAAAAACCAGTAAAATTATACACTTTTATCAGAAATACCACCATCGTGGCAGTCCTAAACAAGTCGCAAAATTGTATAGGTATGTGATAAGGCACCCATCAGAGACTCACCGGCATAAGTGAAGCCCACAAGTTTACTCCTCTCTAGCGGTGGTGCCCAATGCGACCAAATTGTGTGCATGGCTGGGAACACGGCACCCTAGCAACAGAACGACGCCATATGTAACACATGCGTCTTTACAGGCTAGTTATATTCACAATGTTCCTTTATGGATCCATAGTTACATATCATAATAAATAATTATGTATTTTATATTATTATAATTAGGAGTGAATAAAAACGGTTTTTATTTATTCACTCCCTATGTAATTAACTAAACTCTTAATATATCGATAATTCTACACGATCCTATCTTTCCATGAACGGCAGTGCGTACGGCAGACTACATTGCGCACCTCTCCCAGACCTTGCACGATGCGCAGGAATACCAGCAACATCCAATGCTTACGGGCACCGAGAGGTGTGAGCAACGTGGCAATGGCCGTCAGTAGCATGGCGTAACCGAACACTCGCTTCCCTCCGTAGCGCTCAGAGATCCAGCCACCGGGAATCTGCGTCACCAGGTAGCCCCAGAAGAACGAACCCAGAATCAAGCCTTGCTGTTGCTTGTCCCACAGGAACGGGCCATCCTAGGTGAGATGCAACGCATGTTACCAATCTATATAGCGCCAATCGACAATCTATCTCTATAAAATCTGGAAATCTCGTCATGATTCGTCATGCACTGGTGCTAGCGGTTACTAGCGCTTTCGCTCCCACACACCTACATAAATATATTAGCGGGACAAACGGAATGTTCATTTGGAACGCGCATGACCTCTGAGTCTCCTTTGTCTTCTGTTCCTCCACTTCCGCACTTGTCAACGTCAGCTGCTGACGTATGGAAGTCCGACGTATTCCCATTTTGTGAGGCCATGTCGATGGCCGTGTAGTTAACCATGCAGACGAGAGCAACGCTGAGGTTGATGCGCAGAGCATACAGGTTGACAAATCCGAAGAAACCGATGACTGCGAGGATCATGCGCTGAGAACCCCAGAGAGGATCTGCGGCGAATATAGAGATAGCAGATATAAGAAAGAGAGAGATGGAATTAGTTGGGAAAAATTCAGCAATATAAGGAGAAGGTGAGAGAAGAGAGACAACATCGTACCTTAATTATTTTCTCCTCTTCATCTCAATTTATCGATTTGCCCCTCCACTCCTTATTCAAATAACTATGTATGGAGCAATTTATTATATTATTATAATGATATACTGATATCAAACTATTTATTATACCATATGTTAATAAATATTTAATAAAAATATTCCTAAAATTTATTTACAGATATTGTTGCTAATTAGATTATTTATTACTATATCATTATTAATAAATATTTATATATAGCAATTTATTCTAATTTGAGTGAGTTATGTAACGTTCTCTGCTAATATAACAACGCTTGCGTTTTCTATTTCTTTTTTTTGTATATTAATATAATTAATATAGATATTTATTATATATATATAATTATATATATATCATATATATATATATGATATCTATAAA